AGTGCTGATTTAAAACCTTGAGATCGCCCGTATCAAATCCTAATAGGGAAGATGGGATAAGGACCCGGTGGTGTATGATGCACGCCTACACCAATTGCGGTAGAGATGACGATATTGCGGGAGGTCCCCGTTCGCCGGTCATACACTGCGTTCAGAGGGTTAATAGCCAGGCTATTTCGGAGCTGTTACGATATCCGGCTAGCCTCGGCTAACTGTGTGGCTATGTATGGCTAGGCGTGGCTATATGACCTAGCCGGATATCGTAACAGCTCCCACGCTCTGGGCAGCTGTGGCTACGTCTTGGCTAGGCCTACTGGCTGCCTATGGCTATTAGGCCTCTGAACGCAGTGATAGTGTGATTTTTTCTTCTTCTTTTTTTGGCCTGGACTGATTTTAACCATTCAACGGCAGGTCGCGCTCCTCCCCCCGCCGCTTGCAGCATCCACGTCCCTCTGCTCCCACATCTATGCCCCACATCCCCATTGCACCAGCACACCGTACGCAAACGCGGCCACGCAGAAAACGTCCTCGGTCACCCCGCACCGGGCCAGCTCACGAATACGTGCCTGCCACGCGAACGATGCGTGAGCTCTCTAAAGATTGACTCACCTCCGCCTCTCACCACCATACCCCACATCCCCATCGCACCGGCGCACCATCCGGAGACGCGGCCGGGCAGAGAAAAAAATACCTTCGGCAGCATGAAGAGAACGTCCCCGGACGCAGCGCACCGCGGATACGACGAGCATTGTGGGCTCACGAAACGCCCACCGACGCGTGGAATGCGGGACGAGCTAGGAAGGACGCTACGGGACGTGCGATGTCGAGAACTTGGAAGCGATGTGTCTGCCGGATGGAGATGGCCGGATTGGATGAATGCTATGCGTGAAAAGGATGGGGCGCTGGGATGGACCGCGCCGACGTGCTGAGACTGTTCCTGCACGCCGCAGCGCGGCGAGGAGCCTAGAGCGGCGAGACGCGCTGCGATCGGCACCGGTATTAGGCGGACGGACGGCGCCGACACCGTCCCATCCCATCCCAAGTTTCTCTCGTTCATTTCATGCCTATCCTCCCCCACATCAGCGCACGCACATGATCCCCCGCATCGTAGTTCTATCGCTCTCCGTGGCCCATCGAAAACACCGATAGCTCGAATTGTGCTCGCCTGCCTTAACCCCTTGGCACCCCGCACCAGCACAGACGACGCGCTCGGCACCCCGAGCCACTCGACAGCCCCTTCGACGCACGTTCGGTCTTCCCCTCCCCCTTCTCCTTGCCCTCCCTCCCCTGATCCTTCACCCCGCCCTTCCGCGGCGCCTTCGGCACATCGTCCTTCCCAGCTGCGCACCTAGATCGCGCGCGCGGCAAAGACTCGAGGCGTGTGCGTGAGCGTCCGCGGCAGGCTATGATGCACGCTAGCGAATACGAGTAAGAATGCTGCGCGAAGGAAGCGCGGTGCACATCCTCCGCTGACGCTGCGTTGTAACGGGAGAGCACAGCGGGTGCTTCGATGGGCTACCGCGCAAATATGGCGGAGTGCGGCCGCTTGTACAGATTCCTTCGGCCGGGGTCGGAGAGAACGCCAAAAGCGGGGTGTTCGTTGGGGCGATGCGGGAGATGGCCTGCGTGGGGAGGACAGAAATGTCGGAATGATGGTGCGCGGGAAGGGACGCGGTGTGGATGACACCAACTCAGCGCGGGCGTACGGGTTCCCCGCATCGAGGAGCTGGGACGGCGGGACGGGCTCTTCGAGACGCTACGGGCGCTGTTTCTGCTCGCAACGCTCCGCACGGTGAAACTGGGAACGGGTCGCAGGTAGATCGCGACTCGCTAGCGGTGGGGATGCATTAAGAAGGCAAGCGTGTGAGTGGAGAGTTTCAAGAGGTTTGTCTGCACAATACTATCTCAGTATTGGTGGATCGTATAAAAGAAGAAAACCCACCCCGTTAAATCGTATACGAATGGAGCGCACGACTGCGCGGGCAGGCGGGTGGCCTTGGACGGCTCCAAACTGGCGGCTCCAAACTCTAACGACGGTGGGCTCGACTTCATTCTCCCTACGCCTTTCCACCCACGGTCACGATTGCGCTGGGCGCCTTCGCCTAAAGCCCTTTCAGAGCAGGGTCCTTCGTCTACTCCTCCCCCACTTCCCCTTCACCTCCTCTCCGTCCACCTCATCCACTCCACCCGCATCACCCCCTCGTCCTCCTCCCTCCGCCGCTCGCAATATTCACGCCCTACGATCTCCCACTCCACACCCGTCTGCGCTATCCTCCACACCAGCGCACCACACGCATCCACACCAGCGCATCACAGGAAGACGCGACCGCGCAGAACGTCCTCGGCCGCACCGAGCCTGCCACGCACTGTGCAGCATCTCCCACCTCCATACCATCCGCACGAGCGCACCATACGTAGACGCGGCCGTGGGTCGGCCGCCGCCGAGACCATCCTCGGCCGCTCGCTCTGCAGTGCGCCGGCATGCGAGCAAGGCGCGGTCTGCAGTCCCGGATACGAGGCGTCCGTCGAGGGGAAGCGCGCGTGCTGATGCCGCGCGCTCGTACAGGTCCTACGCCGTAGGCGGCGGAACCTGCTGCTAGCGGACGGCAGGTGAACGCGCTCAAGACCCCACGAGTCGAGAAGAGGTCACCGTGGCATGTCTACTGGGTGGAAATGTCGCGATAGAATGTGACGTGTGGCGATGACGGGGCGCTGGAATGGATGTGAACCGCGCCGCCAATTGCAACGTGGGGTGCGGATTGAGTTGCGGCGCACGGACTGCCCCCCCGGGGTCGGTGCTGCTATTGCGAGGCGTGTAGGCGAACGCACCAAGCCCGCGTGTATCGAGAAGCGGTTTTCTGCCGGATGGGGGAGAGATTGAAGGCTGCTGCGCGTGCTGGTGCTGGTCCTGCGCGTTGCAACGCGGACTGTTGCTATCATCCGTGAGGCGAGGTTGGCTGTTGTCGGTGGTGGCGGTATTTGCTGCAATCGGGAGGCACGCGAACGCGCTGGTGCGGATGTGGACCGCGCTGCCGATGCGACGGGGGTGTACGTCTGCGAGCGCGTCGAGCACCGGCCTCAGCTGGATGGCGATGTTGTGATTGAATGACAGCTGCACGCCACAGTGGTGCTAGATTGGACTCCGCCGGGTGGGATGCAGACATCCTGCGATGCATAGAGCTCCATGGTGTGTCTGCGTGCAGAATGCGATATCTCAGTATTGGAAGAACATAAGTATGCGGGTCGAAACCCACCGAACTCGGGGAGCTTGCTGCGCTCGCACAGACCTTGACTGAACCGCCGATGAAATGTTTTGGCCTAGAGACTCGCGATTAAGAAAGGAGGGGAAGGGTACTGCGAACGCGCTCACCTCGAGCGTCAGCATGGCCACCGTTTTGAGTCGGTGCAGCAAGTGCGTTGTCTGAGTTGTGGTACCAGTCGCTTCCAGTGAGATTGCGTTTCTATGGCTCCAATCTTGGCTCCAATCGATCGCGGTGTAAAACGAAGCAAGGGGGCGGTGCAAACATTTGATCGTGTTAGTCTCCGGCTCTTTTCGGCCCGACTCAACTCAAACCTTCAGGTTCAAAAGCGGCAACGATCGCAAGCGACTTAAAAATATGCTCAAATGGACGTCAAGTTTTCATTTGTTGACCCCACCTTGCCCAGAAAGTTTGAGAGTTCGAAATGCCGCCGATCGAGGCCGCCATCAAATGCCGCCGGGAATAGCCGACGATTTGCCGCTGATAGGTTGTCAGCCACCAATTTACGGCGCTTGCAGTCAGTGTGAGGGCTGACGAACAAAAATCATAGTATGTACTCGTTTCTCAGGATTCTATATACCAGATACACTGTGTACGGTAGCGTTCCAGTGCGCCAAGCGCCCGGCTTCCTCTTCGGCACGACGGCATTATTTGTTTCGGATCAATTTGAGCCCTGTATGCTTTCGGCAATACTGATATCCAGCGACGGGTATGAGTCTCATACCCATCGCTGCATGTTTGGTCTAGATTGCAGAGAAAAAGACTTGATTAGTCCTACCTAAAACGCATCAAAGTGCACTGCGGTGCTTTTTATTTAGTGGCTGACAGTGGCTGAATACCCGTGAGAATGCCCTCAAATGCCCGCGATCACTCAAAAATGCCCGCGATCATGCCTCCGATCACCCAAAAACGCGGGCATTTCGGATTCCCAAATGGACTCACCTTGCCTCCTCCTGAAAATTGAAACAAGTTCAACATTGAACATTGAACTCAAGTTTTGTAAGCCGGTCTCCCGCCAACCAGACATACTTTCAGTCATCTTAATGTTTAAAATCCAGGCACACCTGAGCCCCCCCCCAAAAAATGAAAGGAATTATGACAATTATAAGATAACCTAACCCCAGATCGAACGGGGACCTCCCACAGTTTATTTCTCGTAGGCATGCAGCATACACCACCGGGCCATTACCCCGTCTTTCCTATTAAGATTTATACAAAAGCTTAAATTTAAAATCAGCAAGGACAATCCAAGCCATCAATTCAGATTCAGATAAGTACACAAGGTGGATGCAACCCACACAGTTTGTACGAAAATGAAAGAGCGCTCTCCAGAAGAATGCACGCCCATTCAATATCATGGCCAGCATCACCTGCAAGTTGAGCAAAAACAAGAAAATAAAAGGTTATAGCAGGACCAATTATAGCCCAACCCCAAGTCGAACGGGGTCCTCCCACAGAGTTCGAAATTTCACTGTTATTTCTAGTAGGTGTGCGATGTACACCACTGGGTCTCTACCCCATCTTTCGCATCAAGATTTTATACGAAGGTTTCAATTTAAATTCCATGAGGACGATCCGAGTTGTCCCGATTCAGACTCGGGTGGATGAAGCGCGTCGTCTGTACGAACACGAAGACACACTCTCCTGATAAATACCCCTTCATTCAATATCATGGCCTGCGGCACCTGCAGGTTGAAAGAAGAAAAACGATAAAAGTAAAAGCTCGCATCCCTTGAATGACGACCCAACCCCGAATCGAACGGGGACCTCCCACGAAATTTTATTCTTTTCTTTGTATTTGTCGTGGGCGTGCAACATACACCACTGGGTCTGTAACCGATATTTTGTATGCGTAATTTATGTTCAGTTCAAAATCGGCATGCATGATCCAAGTTGTCAACGTTCCATTCTGATTCACACCATTGGTGGTGGTGGTGGTGGAATCTGGATGAAGCGCGCGCCGGATGAATGTACATTTAAGTTTATTCAATATCATGCTCAATTCCAAGAAGAACAAGAGAAAGAAAATGGCATCTTTGACCGACGACTACCTGACCCTGACTCGAACGAAAGTCTCCTACAAAGAAGACACTGAGACATTTTTTATTTATTTGTTGTAGGTGTGTGACGTACACCACCAGGTTGTTACCCCCTCATTTATATGCGTGATTTAGGCTCTGTTCAAAAATCAACGACAATGTCAAGATGGTACTGGTGGATGCGGGGGTGAGGGTGTGCTCTTCTGATCATTCAGGTTTCCAGGTGCTATCGATGTATGGGGGAAACGGATCGTCCCCCTTTTCATACAGTGTTACATATCTTTTATGCCCTTCATGCCATTTGATCCACCTCTTCTCCTGGGTATCCTGAACGTGGTCAACGGAAATATATTCCGGGGCCAACTGGGATTCAAATTGAGAGATCACTTCCATTGGGGGCTGAGGGAATGCCTAGATCGGCTGAGGATTTTTTCAGACGTATGAGAACAAAACTGGTTTCGGGCTCAATCCCAGTTATGAAGCTGAACTGTATGTGACCTGTAATTGTGTGCTGTACTCAGATTGTGTCACCCTCATTAAACACCTTCCATCACTGCTGCTGCCCAGGGAGGTTGCTTCATATCAATTGTATATTGACATAATCAATTGTTTGAGTAATATGGGTATTCTCTAGCACATTCCTCATTCACACATCAATCAAAAAATCCACAATTTCTGGTAGATCCTACTTTTGTCAAGGGGAGCCAATGTGATTTTGTGAATATTCAGTGTTCCGCAACTCTAGTTGTAGCCATATTTTTAGTCCTGACCATGTGTTGGTTCAAATTTTAATTTGGTTTCATCCTACATGTGAGGAAAAAAAATATCGAAACAAAGAGCTTCACTTAGCTGATTTGACAAGATCAGATCAACTCTATGCTTAGCATAGTTGAGTCCTGTTTCAATTTGGAGGAGCAAATATATTGGTAAATCGAAAAGATACTTTGAGTTGGAAGCTTCATTTCTGGGACTTCCAGCACATGAAATTGAAAAATTCAGATTGGGTTCAAACACAAATGGAGGATGTAATGGTACATGTCGCATGATTGATGTGTTGGGTATTAGATTGACGGAAATATGGACTGGGTGGGTACAAAGAACTTGTGTTCATCTGTGGCAGAAAATCAAATTCAATGCTGAAATTCCTGGAGTCTGAGATCCAATTTACCAAATTTGCACTGTTTCAAACATTGTGGCTGGAATTCTGCATCTTGTTCCGTATGGTTTCCAGATCCTCTCGGGCCGAAACTGTATCTGGATGGTCTACACCAAAAAGTTGAATTCTCTGTTCCAGCACAACTACTTCAAGCTCCTCTGCCTCTATCATTTTCCCAAGATTCCAGTATGTGGCAGCCAGATTTGCCATGGCCATCAGTGTGTCAGGATGCTCTGTGCCCAGGATCTGCTTGCACTTTTCCAGGACAGTCACCTCAAGCTCCTCTGCCTCTGTCATTTTCCCAAGATTCCCGTATGTGACAGCCAGATTTCCCATGGCCAACAGTGTTTCCGGATGCTCTGTGCCCAGGATCTGCTTGCGCTTTTCCAGCACAATCACCCCAAGCTCCTCTGCCTCTGTGATTTTCCCAAGATTCCGGTATGTCTCAGCCAGATTTGCCATGGCCATCAGTGTGTCAGGATGCTCTGTGCCCAGGATCTGCTTGCACTTTTCCAGCACAATCACCCCAAGCTCCTCTGCCTCTGTCATTTTCCCAAGATTCCAGTATGTGGCAGCCAGATTTGCCATGGCCATCAGTGTGTCAGGATGCTCTGTGCCCAGGATCTGCTTGCGCTTTTCCAGCACAATCACCTTAAGCTCCTCTGCCTCTGTCATTTTCCCAAGATTCTGGTATGTGGCAGCCAGATTTGCCATGGCCCTCAGTGTGCTGGGATGCTCTGTGCCCAGGATCTGCTTGCACTTTTCCAGCACAATCACTTGAAGCTCCTCTGCCTCTGTGATTTTCCCAAGATTCCGGTATGACTCAGCCAGATTTGCCATGGCCCTCAGTGTGTCAGGATGCTCTGTGCCCAGGATCTGCTTGCGCTTTTCCAGGACAGTCACCTCAAGCTCCTCTGCCTCTGTCATTTTCCCAAGATTCCAGTATGTGGCAGCCAGATTTGCCATGGCCATCAGTGTGTCAGGATGCTCTGTGCCCAGGATCTGCTTGCGCTTTTCCAGCACAATCACCCCAAGCTCCTCTGCCTCTGTGATTTTCCCAAGATTCCAGTATGTCTCAGCCAGATTTGCCATGGCTATCAGTGTGTCAGGATGCTCTGTGCCCAGGATCTGCTTGCGCTTTTCCAGGACAGTCACCTCAAGCTCCTCTGCCTCTGTCATTTTCCCAAGATTCCAGTATGTGGTAGCCAGATTTGCCATGGCCATCAGTGTGTCAGGATGCTCTGTGCCCAGGATCTGCTTGTGCTTTTCCAGCACAATCACTTGAAGCTTCTCTGCTTTCCTGAATTGGCCTGAGTCATGGTAGATCTTCCCATATTCATCAGAAAATTTGTAACCCACTTGGCTGTCTCCCTTTAGGATACCACTGAGGTGGGGCAGAAGTCTAATTCTGAATACCTGGTCACCCACAAACACAGACATGGCCACTATAGCTGCAATACAGTCTCGAGTTGAATTGGAAACAGTGTTTTGGCTCCATTCATGAACAAGAGGATGAATAGAGAAGAGACCTGTATGTGGATCTTGATTTATCAATGAATATCCCCGTATTTCAGAAGCCATGTTTGTGAAGTGAAGAGAGTCCCATTTGCCAGAATCTGTCAGAAATTTGGCAAGAAATGCTTTAGGTTCCTTTATCTCTTCCTCCGATGGACCCAAATTATATGGCTCAAAGAATGCTGCATTTGAAAAAATGGCCTCGGATATTCCATCATGATGAAGAAAGGAGCACAACCGCAGGAACTGAGCAGATGTGGGGCTCAAGCGCTGGAAGCTAATGTTCCATGTTGTGTATACAGACCAAGCATATTCATCATGGGACTGGGTGGAGCGCTCAGAGAGAAGACGAGTCTGGTTTGACTCATATATGCTGAGATATTTCTGGAGTGAGCCTGTCTTGGAGATGAATGCCCCTGCCTGGACTACCGCAAGTGTATGATAATGTAGGGCCTTGTAAAAGACTTGTTAAAAGGGTTTGAGCAGATAAACCCAATATTACCTTGACAATATCAGTTGCAAAAATCTGGTTCTCATCTGTGAGATCATGGGCTGAACTTCTCAAAAGGAGCTGTATGGCATCTTCTTCTTCCATGTCTGACACACGGTGATGAGCACCTGGGGCATGGATGCAAAGTTGGGGGTTCCGTGATGTGATGAGAATGTTGCCACAAGTGCTTGGTGGGAAGAATGGGCGCAGATCAATGTTGAGGTCATCAGCATTGTCAAGCACCAGAATCCATTCTTCCTTGTGAACAGCCAGCCATTGGAGTGCTTCAGTGTGGTCTGACCCAATGGCTCTGGTGAGGGCAATGTTTTGAAAGTCAGCCTTGAGTGTCTCAAGACTACTGGCATCAATGAAGAAAATATCAGTGAAACTAGTTTTTATCAGCAACAACAAACATGAAACAAGGAGAGGCCTCACCGAGAATTGGGGGATTCATCCAGGAATTTGAGGGCAATCTGGGTTTTTCCAGAACCCCCGAGGCCATACAGAAGACAAATGTGATGCTTTCCTATATCCTTTGAGAAGTATTGATGCATCTTATCAAGGATATCTCTGCGGCCCTGGAAAATCTGAGAAGGAGGAGGACAAAGGGTTGTTGCCAGAGGAGGTTTAGGTGGTGCAGGAGATCCAATGCCTGGCAGAGGATTTGTTTTCAGGGTGATGAATACTAATATTGATAGCATACCACCAATGGTCAGTTTAGAGGTCAGCTTGGTGATATTATGATCAGCATTCATAGCTGCAATGAGCTAAATTGACCCATAAGTGATGTAAATAGGAAGCCGGAAGTAACTCGCTGTGAAGTTTGTGCGCAGATTGTCAAGACGGGCTTTGTATCCAGCCAAGTTGTCTTTGATGCTGGTGGACCTAGTGAATTTTTCAAGGCGGACCCGAAAACCTGTGCTCTTCTTGTGTAATTTGCCAAGCTCCTGCTGTATTTCATGCAACAAGCTGAATGGTACATATAGTCAAATGCATCAGCGACATCAGTGTTAGTGATACATACCTTTCAAGCTCCTCACACAGTGATTTGAACATGCCCGCCGCTCCATGCCGCACAATCTCAGCCTCCAGCATCTTTGTGATCGCTATGATGCTACCACATAGATCTTTGAAATCTTCTTGGTTTTTACCTACTTGCTGCAGGGATGGGTGATGAATCAGAAATTTAAATACCTTCTGTGCTGCTGAGACACCACGCACCTGCACTGCCTCCAGGATTGGGATGACGGGCCCCAAAGCTGCTTTTACGTAGGGAAACGGTAGGGCTTCAGCTGTGGCAGAGATTGTCTTGGCTGCTAGAATGCAGTTTGCAAGCCAGTCCTTCCTATTGCTTGCAGCAGACGGGCCTGGTGGTCCTACGGAGGGGTTGGGGGTTGCGGTCGACATGAGAGCTGCAGACAAAAAGCTGTCAGCACTGCCTCAATAGCGCCCGTCAGCCAGTTATATTTGGCAATTGGTCAGTTTGAGCTGGACGGTGACCCGGACCCTCGGCGAGGACAGGCTATAATGTGCCAAGTGATGGGTACCACACTATAACCGTAATTTGAATGGGAAGCCAGCCGAATTGACTTGCATTTTGACTTAAACAATATTCTCGGTCCGACGTAGGT